GGTACGGAGGTAAATGTGGCATGTTTGGGAATTCAGGTGCCCTCATCGCATCATAGTCTATCTCGTACATGTGAGGAGTAGCTTCATACGGTGCCAGAACTTTATCAATTGCACCTTCACCGAAAATATTTTCATCGTCGCCCAAAACGGGTTCTTCGGTTTCTTCATCTTCGCTTGAATCATCATGAATTTATCCCCATCGATTTTCAGTATCAATATCAACAGCCAATTCCGGTATGTTTCTCATCTCATACTCTGCTGTTGCAGATGTCCCCCCGACTTCATTTACACTTTCCAATAGTGCCATAAAACTGTTCGGGAACCTGTATGTCGGCTCCTCAAACTGACTATATAAAGTCATTTCAGATGGATTTTGAGCCACACCTCTTGATGTCCTAGGAACATCACATATGTTACGCATATCAACAAATAACTCAATAATTGCTATATTGGTTGACTCATGTAATCCAACCATGGTTCCAATATCATCATATTCTTCAAGTGGAACTGCAACATATCTGACTGGGTTGGGGCATATCATAAACCTATACCTCAAACCATCAACTGCAGCTTGAATTTTTCTTTCTATCTTATTCTTCATTTCTATAAATGTGATGTCTTTTTTTAACATCATATTTATTGGTTTTTTCATACTGAAAAACTACTCTGACCTCATTTTCCATAATCTATCCATTATAATAGACAATCGTGAAAAAATTGTTACTCATTTTCTCTACAAATAAAAAAATAAATAAATTTAGATTAAAAAAATTAGATAAGATAATTTCATAAATCATTTAGTAATGATTACTAATAATAATGATTAGTTTGATAATATTTTTATTTTTTTTAATATCAAACAAATTTGTTAATAATTGTTATAAAATTTAAGATTATATAATCTAATACAAAGTAAACAAAATATTTTTTTAAAAAAACACTAAATATTTCTAAACACAATATTTTTTTAAACTGGAATAAATTAAACAAATTAATTTTATATAATCTAATATAAAATAAACACTGAATATTTTTAAACACAATATTTTTTTAAACGGGAATAAATTAAACAAATTAATTTTATATACTCTAATATAAACTAACTAACTAACTAATTTACACATACACAACAACAAAAAATGAACAACAAAAAATAATAAATTACCCCGTATTTATGCCTTCTTCCTTTCCTTTCCTTTCCTTTCTTGTTTCTTTCTTCGAATCAATCTGTACGTGGAAAAATGTTGTGGAGTAATGTCCTGTACGTGTAAAAAAATTATTTCTTTAAACAACAATAAATTAAACAAATTAAATTTATATAATCTAATATATTATAATATAACTTAAACTAATAAACTATTTCTTTATTATAATATAATTTAGTTAAAATAACAAACTAACAAACTAATTAAGCACTAATTAACTTTTTTTATAATATAACTTAAACTTCAACAAACAACCTAATATACGTTTAAACACACTAACAAATTAATTAAATATTTTTTACATTTAATAACTTAAACTAATTAACTAATTTTTTATATAATCTAATATATAACTTAAACTAACAAATTAATATAATATAACTTAAACTAACAAACTAATAATTTATACTAACAAACTAATTAACTAAATTTCTGTTTTACCTTAAACCATAAACTAACAAACTAATTATTCCATATAATAAACTAAATTAAACAATTAAAAATTACCTCAAGAACGATGTTTGAGCCTTTATCTCCCTTTCTTCTTCTTCTTTTCATTTCCTTTCCTTTCTCTCGTCAAATTTTCTTTCTTTCTTATGATTCTACCCTAAACCCCTCATATCCAATATATAATGATCTTTGCACGGTTGGTAAGCTGCAATCAATTTGAGTTGTATAATTCACGTTGAAGGCTGTAAATTTTTCAACCGTTGAACGCTGCAATAATACAACACTAATTGTTGCATTCAACAGCTGATTTTACGCTGCAACAATGCATCTATGATAATGAGAGGGGACAGTCTCGAAGCTATGGCACGAGGGAGCATCTATGGCTCGAATCTAGGGCACGAAGCTATGACACTTTGCAACTCAAATCATGCTGCAATAATGCAGCTATTACAGCTGCATGCATGAGGTCTCTTGAGCAGCTACAAGAGGAATCACGCGAGGAGCAGGAGGACATGGCGACCTATGCTCATGGCGACCTACGACCAGCACTGTGGATTTCACCCTATTTGAGCAATTAATCTGGAGAGTGCATTATCTCATGAATTAATTTATTCGAGAACATTATCTCGAAAGTTTTGCCGTCACTAAAGTGTCATTTCTCGATCACGCGCTCTACATGTTCCCCTTTTTGGCGTCAACTCTCTAACCTATGGCCATTTTTCCATGCCAACTTAGCATGGTCTGTAGGTAATGGAGACATGGTTAATTTTTGGACTGATCTATGGCTTTCTAAGATTGGTCTACTCATCAACTTTGCCGCTTTAGATCACTCACTGGATGTTTCTTTACAGGTAAAAAATGTGTTTCATCTCAATGGTTCTTGGCATTGGGATTTGATAGAATCCCTATTAACGCCTTATGCTTTGCCGATTATTCGTCGCTCAATTGATCCAAGTGCTACTATAAGGTTCGATGTTTTCTATTGGTCCAGGAGTCCTAACCTAACCTTCACGGTTAAGAGTGCTTATAAAGCTTTAAGTAACTTGCATTGGGATACAAAACTACCTTGCTCGTCGGTTATTTGGAAACTCCCATTACCGGAAAGATTACGAGGTTTCTCTTGTTATTCAAGCGTGACAAAGCTCTTACAAATCACGTTGGTTGTACGCGAGGGTTTAGCCAAGATTCTCGTACGCGTCTTGTCCTAGTGTAAATGAGACAATGTTGCACATTTTGAAAGATTGTTGCACATCCAGCTGGATATGGAACACTCTCCTCTTGAAATATCATTCTCCCTCTTTCTACACTTGTTCTCACTAGGACTGGCTGCTGGATAATTTAACTTCCACGACTTTTTGTGATGAGATTCAGGGTCCTCGGAACGTGCTCTTTGCTTCTCTAGTTTGGCAGTTATGGAAGGCTCGGAACCTTGCTGTTTTTCAACAACACCTCGCTACTCCAGCATCGATTCTTCATCACAGTATTGCATGGAACAAATTCTATGTTGACAGCACTTATAGCGGGGCGAACTAGTGTTCCTCTAATTCTATCACACGTGCAATGGAAATGTCCCGGACCAGGATGGATCGTACTAAACACCGATGGTGTTGTTTCTCACATTACCAACCAAGGCTCGATTGGGGGTATTTTCCGCGATCACACAGGTTTTTGTCTTGGAGCATTCACAAAATTCCTAGGCCTCACAACGGTCTTTGATGTGGAGCTTTGGGGAATCTGTGAAGGGGTCAAATTAGCTTGGGATTACGGTTTTGAAAAGTTGACTGTTCAAACGGATAGTAGCGATGTTTACCGACTGCTCGTCCCTCCCTCAAATACCAGTCCTTTTGCAGCAGTATGTATGATTGCTTTCTACTAAGCAAAAGCTTTGTATGTTGATTTCCTACATGTTCCCCGCAAAGTAAACATGGTCGCTGACCTCTTAGCTAAGATGGCTCCGATGAACTCCATTTCTTTTGAAACTATACCAGACTCTCTTCAAGAGGTTTTATATAGGGACTTGCATAGTCAGCCTCATATTCTTGTAAAAGTCTAGTTTTGGCTCTCTTTCATTCAAAATAATAATAATAATAATTTATTTATAAAAAATATAAAAAATATATTTAAAATATTTAAGAATTTAAAATTTGTAGAGGACGATTGTCATGTCATCTTAGTTCATCTCTATATTTAAGTGTGTATATATATAGTGAAGTAAATATGCACATTCAAGGCACTTGAAAATGTAGGGCCATGGAGTCACATGGTGGTGCTAAGAGCTGCTTCTTACAAGGTTCAAGGCCACATGCTGCGAGGCTGTTTTTGCTTATAAAGATCACCACCCCGGTCTCCCAATGTTCCATCCTTTCCTTTATTCAACGCGTGCTTTAGGCTTTATTTCTTACAAATATCTAAAGCATGTCTCATATCTCGATTTTTGTCCGAAACCCAAAATCTTACATTCCCCCTGCCCTTTGCCGACACTAATTTCCTTTCTTTGCTTGCATTTCATACAATTAAATCAATATATATATATATATATATGTGACTCCTAAGTCCCAGTTATGTGATTGATTGATTGATTAAGTAAAAGCAATAAAAAGAAGACATAATTAACAAATTTGATTATCTAGAAAGGACTTGCATTTGACTTTTAAAAAAATCTACTATTTTGATTTACAAAAGTCACATTTTTTTCCTATCTAAATGTTATTTATTTGATTGACACATTAATTTGGTTTGCTTGGTATTTTTTTTTGTAATTACAAAACTTTATATTGATAGTCGTGTTTAATTTTTTGTTGTGATTTTTTTTCTAAGAGATAACCTATTAATTACGAAATATATTTCATTCTTATGACTGAAGATTAAATTTTCTACCTCATGATTAAAAGATAAGATAATCAATCCTAAATTTTAATTTAATTAAATTATTTGTTTCAATAAAAATTAAATTACCCGTAATTTTACTATAAATAAAATATTCATTATAAAAATAACCCATAAATTAGCCCATTTTTTAATTTTTTCATATTTTTAGAGTTAGACATTTAAATATAAACATAACATATAATATTTATAAATATTAGATGTAACCATCAATGATATTCAAATCTTGATAAAAATAAAGTACTAAAAAAATAATTAATTGAACGAAGCCATATTATTCAATAGATAATCTCTCTAATAAAATATAAGTGACGTTCTTTATATTATTTTCATAATTATTTAAAATCAACAGTATTTGTTTTTTGTTTTCATGACCTAATAAATATACTGAATATCCATAAAATAATAAAAATTAATTTTTAATGAATTAAACCAAACCTTAAAAAACAAAATTTTAAATTTTAAAAAAAGGAAAACATAACTCGAATACGATAAAATACATGAATTTAAGAACCTCGGTAAAAAAAACAAACAAAGTTTCCAAAAACAAAAACATTTTATAATAAATAAATAACAATCACATTTTTTTTGGCGATTTTACGAGTTGACATTGGAGCCAAGCCGATCAGCCGGCGGCTGTGCTCCACCATCATTGCCGACGGCGAGAAACTCGGTAATTGCTGTCATGGCTCGAACTTGCATCTCTAAAGCCGCTATGTAATCGCTAGTTTCTTCTAGAAGGTTAGAGAAAGATAGTTTCCGGCAACCGGGGACAAGACGTCCCAAAGCCAACAGCTTCCTCTGAACGACCGGCAATTTTCTCCTCTTTCCGCTACTCGCCGGCTTCCTCAACTTCCTATTGGCGCTGACCTTCGCTTTCTTATGTTTCCTCATCTTGGCACTGAGTCGACCAATGAGAATTGCTCTGCTCCAACGCGACGTTCCCTTGGCCGAGACGGCGAGGACTCTGTACGCCGTGTCACGAACATCGTTGCCGTTAGCGGAAGAGGAGGTCGGAGTAGAACGACGACGGAGAGCTTCAATGAGCTTGGACGAGTAGATCTGTTGCTCTTGTCCTGTTCTCCATCGATTCATTCTTGGGTTGCCTTGCATACGATGATAAGAGGAAGATTTTTCATCGGTTTTCCTCCGCTTCTTCCGTTGAAACTCCGATGATATCTCAGGGCTTGGATCGAGTTCTGGTAGTGGTAAGATAGAAGCCATTGATTGGTAATAAAACTGCAGAAAAAAGGGATGGGAGGAAAGAGACGAAGAAGACGAAAAAGGAGTTTTTGATTTATCTTTTGGTTTTGGGAGGACGGAGGGAGGGGATTCAATTTATTGCATTTTTTATATTACTAAAATATATTTTATTATTTTTTACGAAATTCATAACTAAGCTAGTACTGTAGTACATGACACATTTCCATATAAAACATTGAACACTTTGTCGTTTAATGATATTGAAATATTAATAAAGATGTCACATAATAGTGAGGGTATTTTTTTCACGAAATATAATTTTAAAATTTTACTTATTTACAAATATATATTTTTAAAAAATATGATAAAATAAGTTTTCAAATTATTTAAGTAAGATTAAGATTTAAATTCATGTGTAAATTAAAAAAATTAGTTTAAAAGGATGCTTTGTTTATTATTATGATTGATTGATTCAAATCATGTATTGTATATGTTTATTATGAGATTAATTTCTTCAATCTAATTTATATCATTCACGATATCATAATTAAAGGATAGTCCATAAATATATAATACTCGATTCGAATTAATCAAATATAAAATTAAGTGTCAATGATTATAAACTATTTATTAAATGTGATTCATATAATATTATTATTGATACATTATATATATACATAAATTCATTAAATTCAACATTTTTTTAAAGAAAAAATTTCATCATAAATTACTTATTTATTTTTATTTCGCATTAATGTGAATGTGTCACGAGGAATTCATGACCTTACCGACTTTTTAATTTATCCCCGAACCAAGGTACTTGAATTCATGAGGCATGTTTCTCAAAAATAAAATAAACTACGAGGCATTCCTTATCTTTGATTATGGGATCATCATTAAATTGATCTCTTACTTTCAGTAATTATGACTTAATAGTTAGTGATCTTAAATAGCATAATAATTAGAAGATAAGCATTGATGAATATATAGTGAGCTAACGTAAAGTTTTGCATTCTTATCATATGTCACTCAATTTCAATAATTATGATTGAAATATACAGTGGATCCATATTCTACTTGATTTGAAGGTATTATAATTTGGTAATAACCCTTTACACTAAATTAATTTAAGATGATATTAAAATAAAATATATAAACTAATTTTTTATTAATAAGTAGTACTATTTGTTTTTAAAACCTCTTCACCATCAAACAATGAATGCTCAAATAACTTTCATTCTCTAGTGCTGAAACTTGGAACACTTATGAAAAACAATCAGTTTTTAACCACCAAAATAACTTGATTCATGCGAAAATAGATAAATCATTTTAGATTTATTTATTTTTTCTGATATTTTTCAGAAAAAAATATAATACATAACATCATAAAAATGAACTATCTTAACCTATCAAAATTTAATACTATCATATATGAATATCAATTAAAAGCACAGCATAAAAAACTAAAAGACACATAAAACATTTTAAATATATAAATAGCACAATAAGTTTTTTAATATAAACTAAAATCAATCAAATTCCCACATCATCCTAACTATAAAAGGAATTATATATATTCCAATAGTATCCAATATACATGGCATGTTATTTTAATCATTTTTTAATAGTTTGGAATAAATTATAAAGAAGTATTTATTAAAAAAATTATTAATCATTAATAACACGCTCTATAATTAATAGAGGTTGATTCAAGTGGTAAGCAGTTTGATATTGCTAAAGCAAGGCTCATGTTCGATCTTTGTGTATGCAGAAAATCTCCGTTAGAAAACTCACCCACCAAAACCAGATTTACAACACGGATCGATCCAGATTAGTCACGACAAAACCTTAAAACCGGGAGAACAACCAAACAAAAATATAACACACCCTACGGGTGTTCAAACCCAAATCCTCTAAATCAACATTTAAACCCATAAAAGTCGGTATTAATAGAATACATATTTTTTAAAGAAATAAAATGCATATTTAAATGTATCTAACCTCGTAACTCCTGAAATATTATAAAACGTAATAATATCAATTAAATTGAAATTTAATTAAAAGGTGTTATAAATTTAAAATAAAAAAGTATAAACTTTTAAATAATAAAATTTAAGGTTCAATTTTATTAAATACTATCTTTAAAAACAAATCCACACTAAACTAATTAGTTTAAATCCATGATTTAATTTAGTGTTAATTGAATGGGTGTGAAGATGTGGACACATTGTATTGGATAATGAAGAAGGTAACTACTTATTGGCTAATGTGAATATGCTTATGATATTAGCAGTGATTAACGGGGCGTTGCACAAAGATAGGTTAGGGGAAAGAGAGAGGGATGATGTGTATTGCACTTTCTTTATAAATTCATTTGTTTTTGTAGTTTATTATTGCTCACCCACATTGCTTTTTAATCTATTCTTTCATTATTTCTTAAGCACTAAGTAATGCGGTTTCGTGTTTGTTTCCTTTTTTTCTTATTTTAATTATGGGATATATTACAAATTTGATCTCTTTTGTTTCGATTCTATTCACATTTAATCATTAGAATCAGAAAAATTATGTTTCAATCATCTATAATATCATTTATTACAATTTGATTACTAAACCATTAATTCTCATTTTAAAAAACATTAAGGAAGAAATGTGTGTTTTAAATAAATATCAAGATACGAGTGTTTATTTATAACAACTATAAGTTTTAAATATATTTATATATATATATATCAAGGATAGAGATGGTCAAAATACTCGAAATTTGACAGATTTTAGCTTGATTTGATCATATAGAATCGGGTTTTTTTTATTTGGAATGGGTCGAGATGGATTTTGAGAAAGAGAGAGTCAGGAAGGAGGCAAATATATGATCCAAATAATTACTATAATGTTCCTCTTTGTATATCTATGAATAACTATTGTAATATCTCTATATCTTTTCAATTATATCCTATATTGTTGAATAAAAAGGCATTCGTGTTGAAGTAGATTGAAGATATAATTTTATCAAAATTTGAAATGATAGAACATCACCAAATAACGATACACGTTTTTTATTAAAAAAACGATACAACTTATGATCAAATAAGAACTTTAAATTTTCAGGTCAAAATTGAAATGACAAAAAAGAATCGTGTTTATCCTTAATCAATATGCATTTAAGGGTGTTACTAAAGAATTCAGAAATTGTCTAGACAATTTGTTTTTGAATAATTTCCACTTATGAGAAGAAAAATGAAAATTTTACTATTAAATTAATAAATTAAGAGATAAAAAAATGTTATCTTAAATCTTTTAACTATATACTCTAGAGACCGTTGAAAATTCTTTGTAAACGTAACAGATATAGAATTGGAAGACATAAAATACTTTTAGAATAATATTATTTGATTTATAATATAGTTAGACTTTTGTTAATAGATACAACGTATTGATGTAATGGTACGACAAACACAACTTTATTAGGCCATAAAGAGAGAGCAATCCCAATAATTTCATAACTATGCTGTACGAGATATGGAAAGCTTAACTAGACAACATTATTAGTTAATTGTACGTAACCAGATTTTAATATTGGTTTAGAAGATAGAAATCTGATGAGACAGAGGGGCTGCCTCCTCGTGTGAGACAGCTAGTTCAAATTTCAATGTCAGCATGTAAAAGTCAATCCATCGTATTTGTATGGGTTAATATATATTTTAGTACATAAACTTAACTTTGATGTTCAAGTTAGTATCTATTTTTTTTAATTCGGTATGTAAATTTTATTTTTTTAGGTTAAACTGATACTTGAGTTTTACTTTTTTTTTATTTAAACAGGTACTTATAACTTTTTAACCAATGTGAATAAAGAAGTCGAGTTCATGTATCAATTTGAATTAAAACAACCGAGTTTAAATACTTAACTGAACAAAAGAAAGTTAAATATCAAATTAAATCATAAAACCAAGCTCAAGAGTCAAAATGTGTATTTACCCTTTTGATATCAACCCCATGATTACAAAAGATAACTGAGTTGCATTGCTTCCTAAGATGGGTTTCCCAAATTAATTAACAAAAAATGTTTAACATTCCCTAATGAAGTGGTAGGGAGCAAAAGATAAACATTAGATTAGGTGAAAATAAATGCGGTTTAGGGTGTCAAACCTCTATTCTATATTATAACAATAATTAACCTTGTCTAAAGATAATATTTAATATTTATTTTATCATAGATCCAACAAATATATAATATATATTGAATTATTTATATATTTGATATTCAATTATGATAATATCATTACGTTTATTTGAAAAACATAGCATTGGAGCATCAAAGAAAATCACCTAATAAGCTGCAGGGTTCAACCATCTTTGAGAATATATATTATTCAATGTTGAAAAATAAAATTTCACATTTATTTATAAATATATAAAAGAAATGTAATATCAGATAGGTGTATTAAAAGAAAAATGGACAATTCAATATAGTTGTTGAAACAGACAACTTAAAGTGTATGATAAAAAGAGTATTGAATCAATGTGTTTATATTGCTATGTGGGCTTTGGATATTTACATAGAACCTTAAATGTATGGACTTGTAAATTTGGGTTTTGGGTGTACAAATCCTTGAAAGTTTTGAATTTTTTCAAACTTTATTCTTTCTTATCTAATTGAACATTTAAATCAAAAAATTCAACCATAATCTTAAATTGAAAATATTTTTCTTCAATTTCTTAGATCGATCTGAATTTATTCTTGGGGATACATTCAAACTGCAGCCTTTTAAGTTCTTTCTCCACAGTTCATAGCTGGTTTTAGCCCTTTTCATGGATGATCAAGTTAGACCAATATTCAAATATGCAATTAGAAAGACTATCATAGTTGATCAATCAGGCCATGACAATTTCACCAATATTAAAACTACCGTTGATTTCATTCCATCAAACAACCAAGGTTGGACACTTGTTCATGTTATACCCGGCATCTACTGGTAATTACAGCTGAAACTCTTTCACACACACATGTATATATATAGCTCTAATATTGCTGTGCTCCAATCTGTTTAGTGAAAAGGTGAATATCCCTAGTAATAAACCAAAGATTCTTCTCCAAGGAGAGTCGAGACAAGTGACAATTGTCCAGTTTGGAGATGGGGATGATTCCATTCAGAGTTCTACTTTTCTTTGAATGCAGATGATTTTGTTGCCATGGATATAACATTCAAGGTCCGAGTAGAAATTGATAACCCTTTTTTTCTTCTGATGGAATACTCAAAAACTTGATCCTGGAAAACCAATTACATGGGCACCGGCAGCTCAGATCAATGCGGACAAGGCCTCGTTTTATCGATGCGGATTTGTAAGTGTGCAAGATATGTTGACAGATTCCGAACGACGTCACTACTTCGAGAGTTGCTATATCGAAGGCGCCGATATGGGGCAATGGCAGATCAATTTACCATGTAAGTAGGCGTTTACAGCTTGAATCTCTTTTTATGTCTCCAATTCATTTATATTTACACTCGAATATCATGTAGGAATGCAAGATAAATCTAACAGCATTATCAGAAGGCGCGGCTGGTTATATCACCGCTCAGCTCGAGATAGCACGGCCGATAACAGCGGTTTAGTGTTCAAACACGGTTTGATCTTCGGAACCGGTTCTGCCTATCTAGGAAGAGCATACAGGCCTTATGCCAGAGTATTATTTCACAACACCAAGATGTCTGATGTAATTGTTCCTCAGGGTTGGTCGGCATGGGATTATGTTGGCAAAGAGTAAGATTTTTGGCCTTGGAATAATTTTTCTTTATCACAATTAGTGAATCAATTAGCCAAGCATTGTTTTTTCACAAAACTGTGTAGAAACGCTATAGTTTCTGCGGAGGTAGACTATAAAGGACCTGGAGCAGACAAGTCCAAGCGTGTGCCATGGGAGAAAAACTTGTCGACCAAGGATTTGAGACATTTACTAAATCTCAACACTTTCATAAACCAAGGAGGATGGATCCAAAAACAACCTAAGCTTAAGACAGTCCCTTAAAACATGTTTCTTATATATATATATAGGCAGAAGGATCAATATTGTAGTTATGGAAACAAGCGGTTGTAAGATGGGAAGAAGCCAACACAATCTAAGTGAGGGGAAGGGGACCAGAACCCACAAAGGCAACGTTGGTAGGGACATGTTCGGAGCAATGTTCGGTAAGAATGTCGAATTTGAGTTGTCCGAGCTTGCGATAGTTGGAATAGTAAGGGAAAACGTTGAGATGGTTGGTGTTGGATGCTAAGATGGTGGAGAAATGGATCTCCAAGTGACCCTCGGCTTCTCCACAAAGTGGGATCAACTTGGACCTGGTTTCTTGAACTTTCATGCAAAGCTTGGTGACATCAATGAGGCTGGGTGGCATGCATGTGAAGACGAACTGTGTGAAGAGCATGTTGACATCTTTGGAGCGTTTGAGATTATCGAGGCTTGAGATTTGGGCATACAACTCGCAAACTTTTTCTACCAATTGATCTTTCTCGCAAACCATGTCGACACTATGAGGTTATAGAGAACACTCAAATTTCTTTCAAAGATAATTTCCAAAGGAAATATGTATAGGGGGTGAAGGGGAGAGATTGACAATCTCAGTATCTACAATGGAGTTCTTATTTATGGGCAACTGCGGACTGCCGTTGTTCTTGTTAGGGTAAACTACATTCATAGTCATTAAACTTTCAAAACTTACATTACATTCACTACATTTTTAATGCACTTTTATTATTGTCAATTGATGTTAGTTGTTAATAAAAACTTACATGATAGGTTAAAGTATTCTTCCCAAAAAACTGCGTAAGGTTCCAAATTGGCAACCGTCGTAAGAGTCAAGTTTTTGATGTATAAAAGAATCGTTGGTCAATTAGTAGTGAGAAGATTTTGACAAAAACATAATAGGTTGATTTTATGTTGATGGTTGATGTGACAAGTCAAAAAAATTTAGCTTTTAGTTATGGTTAGAATTTGAGGAGATTGAATGATTTTTTTGACGAGTTTAAGCCGAATAAAAGAAATAGATTAATAAGATGGGTGTATCAATGATCTTTTCAACTAAAAAAAACCATCCATCGATTAGAAAAATGACGATGAAAGGAGTAACAATGATTGTAAGTTTTTTAGGGTTTTTAATATTCTTAGTTGCACCGTTAAAGATTAATGGCTTAGTGATTGAAATGAAATTTATTGTCTAATAAATATTTTTCAACTTTAGTGATTAAAATAAAAATACTCTAAAACGTAAACTTTAAACCCTAAATATTATGAATAATGCATAACTTTCAGTTCACCACCCATTTAGCAATATCATCAGCTTGTAAAAAGTAGCATGAAAACGCTGTGTCCACGTTTAATATCTTGTAATATAAAGAGAGAGATCTGCAAAATTGCAGTGAATTAGTTGAATTTCAATTTTGATTTTTGACAAATAAAATCAATCTCACTATGACCTGCTTGCATACCGCTGTCATCATTAATGCAAATTACCATGATGAGAATACTCTCTTATTAGTATTATCATTGATCACACATTATGCAAATTTCCATGACACCCCCTATTCTACTTATAATGGCAATAGAGACTTTCTCATTGGTTTTGTCAAATCTTGCTCTTTTATATGCATATATAATTTTCATTTCAAGTCGCCTATCTATATTAAGACTCCAGAGATGAAGTTAAAGCCATGTAATTTATATTGATATATGTTTTAATGCATAAACTCTAAATTTTAAAATATTTGACACATTAACATTTAAATATTGTTATATGTCTTAAACCTTAAACATCTAATTATTAACCCATATATCATGTATCATAAACCCTAAAGTTTAAACCTAACTCTTAATATCACATGAACACATATAATCCATTCATCTTTTCTTATAGAGTTTTTTTAGGAGAAAAGAAAACAAATATGCTTACTCCAATATATATTGTTTTTCTTTCAATAATTATATTTGAATTATTGTAGTAATAAAATCTTCAAAACTCATATGACCACTTGAATTAGGGATGGAGTTATATAGGGAGTGGGAGGGGCTCTTGTCACTCCCATTGTTTTAATAATATTATAAGTCTTTATCAATTTAAATTTAAATAAAATTAAACTTTTACACCCTCCAAAATTTTAAATTAAATATATAATAAATTATTATTATTTTAAAATTAAATACCTTATTCCTCCTAATATTGAAGATGATGAACCAAAGCTCTAGCTTTTGCGAGTGAAATCAAACGTATATAGTACAAGCTAGTGGTTACTTTTGTTCGAATTAAAAATGATATTGTGGTGATGCCCTTTGAATTAAATGGTGAGAATGAATTGGTGTTAAAGTGAGTGCATGTTAGGGATGGCAGTATGACCCGAATCCGACGGGGAAACCCGAAACTCGGTCAAGTTCAGGTCGGGTTGAATGATATCGGGTCAGTGGGTATCGAGGATTTTTTTCGGGGATTTTTTCGGGTCGGGTTCGGGGCAAGGTATCCCGCCCCGACCCACCCCAATTATATATATATATATATATAATATTTTATATTTTTTTATATTAATTATATATATAATATTTTTTATATTAATTATATAAAAAATATTTTCGGGTTCGGGTTTGGGTATAATATTTCGGGTCGGGTTTGGGGATGGGGCAAAAAAAATCCCCGACGGGGCGCCCCGATAAAAAATGTCGGGGATCGGGTGGGGTCGGGGACGAGGATTCCTTTCGGGTTCGGAGACGGGGCGAGCAAAACCCGCCCCGAACCTGACCTGTTGCCATTCCTAGTGCATGTGATACCCCTAGGCTATCATTGCACTGCTCCTCCTTACGAATTTTCTCCTTTGTTGAAGGTGCCCTGACACGTCTAGCCTTTTCATCGATAGTTGTTTTCCAGTAGCCAAATGTTCAATAAGTGACACATGAAAATTATTATAAAATTAATTTCAAAACAAGAAAATTATTAATATTCCACTCAATGCACCGTCAATAAAACTAAATAATGAGATGATGCACTATTATAATTTTAACCAATGAAATAAGGATTTAAAAGGAAAGGTAGCAACCCGAAAGAGTGTCATGACAAAGTGAAAAAGTACTGAAAGATATTGAGTTATTATCTCTTTAACAAAACATGAACGTATTCATTAAAGGAAAGGATGATTACAAGTAGTATACCAGCAAGCTATTAATACACAGCTTACAAGCAGTTAATAGTAACAACCTATCTAACCACCTTTAACAGCCTAACAACTCCTTAACTGTTATTGACTCATCTTACATACATATCCCATACACATTGCATATACCTCTAATATTCTCTCTGCATCTTCACCTTCCTTCCTTCACCTCAACACAACACACACTTTGTCGTGAAATTCCTCAAATGTTCCTTTCGACAGTGGTTTGGTAAACCCATCAGCCACTTGATGTGCAGTTGGAACATAATTTACGCAAAGTTGCCCAGCTGTCACCTTCTCCCATACAAAATGAACATCCAACTAAACATGTTTGGACTGCGCATGATATACTGGGTTAGCACTCATAGCCACTACACTCGTGTTGTCACACCAGACCACTGATTTCCCTTGTTGCTGAACACCAAGATCAGTTAACAATGTGTTAATCCATGTAACTTCAACTGCAGCATCAACAATGCTTTTGTATTCAGCTTCCATAGTTGACCTATACATTGACCGTTGCTTCTTCGAACTCCACGCAACAAGACATTTACCAATAAACACACCATAGCCCGATACTAACCTTCGATCATCCAGATTTGCACCCCATTCTGCATCTGCAAAGGCTAAGACCAACACTCTAGTGTCAGTTGGCGAGAACAACAATCCATAATTCACAGTTCTTGCTAGATACTGAGAATCCTCTTTACTGCAGCAAGACGAGTCACTCGAGGTGCATGCATGAACTGAGAAACTTTGCCTATACTCAACGCTAAATCAGGTCGAGTGTGACATAGGTAAAGTACCGAGCCAACAATGCTCCTATATTCACTTACATCCTCCAACAGCTCTCTTTCCTCACGAGATAATTTGCAAGACAGAGTCATGGGTGTAGAACACACAACTACAGTTTTCATACCAACATTTTCTAGTAACTCTATGCAAACTTCTTTTGACTAAGCACAAGCGACTTGTCACCCTGTATCATTTCAATCCCTAGGAAGTAACTCAATGCTCCCAAATCCTTGAGAGAAAATTTTTCTTTTAACATAGCAACAACTTTCTTAATTCCATGCGAGGATCCTCCTATGATCATTTTTCATCCACATACACTAACAGGTATACTCGATCAACACCATTGTATTTAAAAAAACAAAGATGAATCTGTTCGAGATACTTGAAACCCTATTTCTAATAATGCTTCTTTTAGTTTGGAGTGTCAGTTGCGAGGTGCTTGCTTTAGCCCATACAAAGCCTTCTGCAGTTTGCACACCAAGAGGGAGCCATCATCAGCCAACTGTTCAAAGCCCGATGATTGTTGCATAATCACATCCTCTTTAAGATCACCATTGAGGAAGGCATTGTTTATATCTATATGCCTCAATTCCCATGTATTAGATACTGCTAAAGCAAGAATAACATTCAATGTAGAGAATTTAACTACTGCAAGAATAACATTCAATGTAGAGAATTTAACTACTAAACTAAAAGTATCACAAAAGTCATGTCCAGGAACTTTAGTGAACCCTTTGGCCACTAATCAAGCCTTATGCCGATGAATAGAGCCATCAGAGTTGTGTTTTAGTTTAAACAACCATTTACAACCAACTGATGTTCTTCAGGTGGGAGCTTGACCAATGACCAAGTCTCATTCTTATGTAATGCATCAACTTCAGCCTGAATTGCATTATTCCATTTTGTATATTACAATGCTTCCTGCAAACTTGTAGGGATATCATCATCAAAATGACATGAAAACGCTTTTGGTTTGAAAACGCCGCATTTACTCCTTGTCAACATTGGATGAACATTTTGTAGCTGACGTATTCCAGTGTT